GCGGGTCAGACAGGATTGAGGCAAGTGGGCTCTGGTAAAGTTTACCATGTGCTTCAGTCTCCTCGAGAATGATGAGAATGATGAAGTGGTTTTCTAACAGCCTCCTTGTGTTTCTTATTCCTCCCCTCTGGAGTTCAGGGAAGGAAGTTAGTAACTCCAGCTTCTTTTCTAGCCATATACATAGAGAACATAACATAAGCACATAAGCTTGTCCACATTGGGTTAGACCAAAGGCTCTTCTATTGTGGGATCCTTCTCCAGCAGTCTACAAATGGTCATGAGCATGTGGGGGGAAAATTCTTTCCTTCCTCTGCCCGTGTGGAGATGCAGAGATGCTGAATGCATGTTCTGAACAGAGCCCCAAGGCCTGTTCAAGGTAGAGCCAGAATCAGAAATTGGAAAATCATGGTGTCTTTTCAGAAGTTTAGCAGACAGACCCATCCTGCTTCATCCATTGCTGTCAGAAGTTATTTCTTCAAAATGTTTACTGGAGCAAAAATAAGGCTAAATATTTTATACATATATACATACTATACATACATATATGTCTTTGCAATTGATATTAGTTTTCCACCTCTATTTAACTTTTTCTGCCAAGAACACTCTTTAAGTGAGTACTGCCTTTCTCCTTGGCTAGCAAAAGCACCTGTAAATTAGTTTCCCCTTAATTTTCAAATTGGCAAGTACCAGTTTGCCAAAGATGCTTCCAGCTCTTCCATATTTTCTTTGGGAACAAGCACAGCACAAAGCTTCCCTGAGACTTTCCATGTTCTGCACAGCTCCAGCTGAGGAGCACAGGGATTATTCTCAACCAACTCTTCCATCTGCATTTCATTGCACAGCTCTCAAAAGCAGGTTCTGGAAAGCTTGGAAATTTCACATGCCATGCTTGATGAGAGTGGGGAAAATAATCCCCTCTTTTGCATCAGTGCACACAACATCTCTGTGCTTCCCATTTCAAATCCTGTTCCTGATACCACTGTGCTGGCTTTGTGTGCAGCACTGCCCTCATTCAAAATTATTGCAGCCCCCGCTTACCATGCACAGCATATAAATCCTTAGGAGGCTGCAGCTCTGGTTTCTCTGTCAGGAGCACTGATTTGCCAGGAACTCAGCCAGGCAGCAGAAGGCAGGCATCTCTTTTGCCCTCCACACTTGCTCCCCTTTTCTCTCACTCACTGAGTCCTGGCCAGCGAAAGACTAAGCAGAACATTGTTTTAGGCAAGGGGGTCTTCTTTCTTGTCTGCCAAGAGAGGCAAAGGCAAACTTTCTGCCTTGTGCCAGTTCCAAAGAAAAAACATCCTTTGCGCTTCTCTGCCTTGGGAAAGGCACAACAGCCTCAGAGCCTTTCTTCTTTTAAATTACTTTTGAACTGAACTGGAATTCCTGTTAGCCTCCTCCAGCACAGCAAGTGCTTTCTCTCAGGAGGGTGAGATCTGTCTTCTAGTAGCAAACAAACAGCCAGCATCCGCCCCCTCCACAAGTCCCACTGCTGCAGGAGGAGGTCTTGTCTCTGGGTACCAGCCTGGGGCAGGTGAAGGAAGGGGGCGCAGAAACCACATGGCTACTCTTAAGGGAACTACCTACACACTTTATAACTATTGCTTAGAAAATGGGGAATGTATATTGGATGCTCAGATCACTCAGGAGTTACCTACAGACTAGTTCTGGGTACAAAGATATAACTAACTTCTAAATATGAGGTTTCCATCTGGAGAGAGTATTTCATGGGGCTATCAGAGTATTCCACACAAAAATATGGGCAAGGAACACCAGCCCATACACTAGCCAGATTCAGCTAGCAATAATACTACTTAGCTTTGATGTTACCTAACAGGAATCCTCATTACAAGCAAGATAAACTGTGTTCCCATTTTTCAGAATGAAATCCAGCGGCATGTCTTCAGAGAGTTGTCCTGAGACTCAGCTCAAAATTACTAACTTAGAGTGCACATAGAATTACACCCAAAGAAGGCATTAGCTCAGATACGAGAAGCTCTGGAGGTATGGAGATCATTACCAGGATTTATCCATCACTTTGCCTACCCAGAGATAGCACCACGCTAACATGATTATATCATTTCTCTTATAGGGAGGACTTGGCTCTGCATCTTTACAGCCTACCACTTGCACTCCACCTTGTGTACAAATGCCATGTGCCCAGGGCTGCCTGCAGCAGTGATGCACTGAAAGAAAAGAAGGCACGGCGTGGTTTCAAAAGGTCATGAGAACTGCCTTGGCTCCGCAGCAAAACAGTGCTGGAAGTGTTGTGTGGGAAACCAGACTTTCTGCTTTAAGGCCTCTTGCAATTGAAACATTTTGTAAAATACAGTTTCTTCTAGTAAGTGGAGACTCAAGGGAGTTCTGAATTTAAATTAACTTCATGAGCAATAATAAATTAAAACTATCTAGCTCAGGTTTTTTTTCTTCATGCCATCCAGCAATTATAAGGAGCTTTATCACAACTACCAAGAACAGAGTATGGGGCCCTTAAAAAAGCTCACAAAAATAATTGCAGTACTTTTAATTTCAAATAAGAGTGAGTTTGATTTTTTACTTCAGCAAATAAGAATACATTCATAAATTTAGCTGAAAAACAAGATTTTATTTTCGTATTCAAAATAGCATTTTTTCTCTGTGGATTTTCCACCTAATTAAAGACTAGATATTTATTAATGCATAAGCACTATCATTTTTCAAATCAGTAACAAAGCACACCAAACACTATAATGCATCTTGCCCTTTTATTGCATTGTATTATAGACAAAGAGGAGTACATACAGAATAATCACTGCTATCACAACCGTAAAGTTGCAGTGTCACTCTGACCCCTTTGGGAGTCAGAGAACATCCACTTGTCATTCATTCGACCTTTTCATCATAACAAGCTGCCTATATCAAAACTCAACTGTGAGCAACCATTTTTCTAAATAAAAACACAGCCAAAAAACCAGTGCTTGCTAACAGGACGTTGCAAGATTCTTTAAGGTACCAGCAGAATAAACATGCACAATAGCAGTACAAAACCATAGACATGCTGCTCCCTGAAAAGGTGAGCTGTGCTGGAAAATTCACAGGTTCAGTGCTGGAACTCCATCTCCTGCAAAAAGCTGACTCAAAATCTGTGCATTACTTTGGTGCAAATCTAACTGGGAGTAAAGTGACCTAAGGTTGGTATTTTGCAAAGGAGTTGTGTTAAACCTATTGTTTTATCTGTAAAATAAAATGTGGTCTATGATAAGAACCCCTATTGCTTCCCATCAGTCAGTTAGTTACCAGTGTTACAGTGGAGTGTAATGCTACCAGAAGCAATGTGTTGCTGTGTCATGCTGCTCCTCTTCTATACAAACTAGGTCCTGATGACCTATAAAGGGTTTTTCTAGAATACTACAAAGGACAAAGCAAATTTCCTACTTGAAGTGCAGGTGCAAGGAAGCTTTTCCTTGCTGAGAACCACATGCCTTTCAAACAACTTTGGTAGAGTATATGGTAATACACTCCTTTGTGTTATTGAGTATGACTGCACACAAAATAATAAGTTGGCAGTGGGTCACAGTTCCCTATTTCCCTGTGTCTCACGTGGTAGATAAAATGGGAGAAAAGCGGTTTGGAAACATACAGATAGCTACCGTCGTAACTTACTGAGCAGCCTGACACAAAATATCAGCCACTTACGGGAAGACAGACATATTAATAACAATTGGTAAAATGACTTTGAAAACCACTGTTGTTGATACTGCTCCCATACTCTTGTTTGTATAAAAGTTTCTAGCCTGTACATAGATGCTCTAGCTGATATACAAATCTCTATTAATTATACTTTGGGGATGATATTTTAAGCCCTGTGAAAAAGTTGTTATTATCTACAAGAACTTTCCACTAGCGCCATTTTCTGCTCTCCTCCCCAAAACAAAGGAAAAAAGGAAAACAACGAGAAAGGATTTGCTATTCTTTTTCAAAGAGTAACAAGGCGCAATCTTGTCTACTACTACGCTGCCTAAATTGTTTTGTTCTCTCTT